TCCAATCTTCTTCCATTCCTTTTGTTAATATTTAATTTTGATGAGGTTACATGACATCACATAAGAAACTACAAACAAAAAGGAATAAGTCCACGTGAAGAGGCAGGACGAGGATGCTGGACCCATGTGAACTCACGGGACCCTTCAGCATGGGTCATGTCGTTTTCCCATGTGAACTCACGGGACTCTTCAGCATGGGTCATGTCGTTTTCATATTTTATACTGTAATTAATACTGTAATATTTAATGCTTTTTTACTGCTCCACTCTAGAATTTTGTACCATCGAAATTTGAAACTCCTTGGGGGGATAGAAGAATATAATGGTACAGTTATTTTTTAATTTTTTTAATTTTTTTTAATGTATCTTGACAATTTCTGAAAGGTAATAATATGTGCAAGCACTCTAAAGAGACACTTTCATTTTAAAAAATTGCTGTTAATATGTTCAATGAAAAAATAAAGCGCAAGCTTGTTTAAGTGAAGATAAGAATTATACTTTTAAAATTACGTAATTTTTCTAAAACTCTACAAAATATTATATTATTAAATTTTATTTTTAGATAGCATATGAATAAATTTACTTATTTTACTGTATTATTTGAAGCTCCCTGTCCCAAATCAAATATAACTTAATAATCATTAAATTATGTTTAACTTATTTATATTTTTGTACTAAATAAAAATAGTGTATCATAACCAAAATATGTGATATTTAAAATAAATAAAAAAATCAATACAAGTTGATGTTCATAAATTATTGAACTTAGTGAAATTTTATAATATTCAATATTAAAAAATTAACACATGTTTATTAGTGTAGAGGTAATAAAATAAAATTAGTAATAAAAGTGCTTTATGTAACATTATTACCAAACAAATTTAAAACTGTTTCTAGTATAAAATGTGTTTTATATGATGTGTTACCAAACGCATAATTGTATTTTACTGACAATAATTCTATGACAGCTCTATTATTAAAAGTTTTATGACAGTTCTATTACTAAAAACACTTTTAACATTCTAACAGTAATTCCAAACGAAATCTAAAAAATTGTATATTTTTAATTCTTTTACTGGAAAAAAAATAGTTCTATCATATTGATATATTATTCCCTTTAAAATAATAAAATTTGAAAAAAAAAAAACAGCCGAAAATTTGTATGATGAAGATGGGGATTTTCAGCGTGAACAAAACCATCGCAAGGTTCCCTATTGGTCGAATTAAATAACTTCTACTAATATATTATTTCAGAATTAATAATAATAATACAATTATACTTGTATTAAATTTAAAACTTTTCAATATTTTGTTTGAGAGAGAGAGAGAGATGTGAGCTGGGCCAGGAACACAATACAGGGAGAACCAGGCCTGCTTTCTACAACTTAAGATATGTGTCTGTTGACGGTAGTAGAACTCCAAAGCCCAGTTTGAAAAATATTGGGCCTCAAGAACAGCATTTTCATTTAAATTTTAAATACAGTGTAAAAAGTAATTAGGCCTGCTGAAATTCAACCCAAGACTATTAATGGGCTTTATAAAATCCTCACAGGTCCACCATATTTGGGCCACGCTACAAAATTCGATTTCCTTTTATTCTCAGGATAACTTGGGAGTGAACAAAATTTCATACGCTCAACTCAAATCTTTAATTTTGGTGTCAAATTTTATAAGATAGTGTTAGGGTAAAGTGCAAAAAACACCCTTGAATTAGAACTACACTTTGTGCATGATACTTCCTGAACTATCACATTTTGTTGCAAAATACCCCAATGCCTAAACTATATTTCATTAAATGATCATAATGCGCTTTCTTATTGAATTACACTTAATTTATTTTTCTTATTGAAATAAATTATGAAACAAATTTATACTAATTTGATGACATATTCTCCATTAAATTTGCATAAATTTACGTTTAATTTTTAAAATTAATTGTTTTAAAAAATATTAAGTAATTTTTTTAAAAAATAATTTAATTATTTTTTTTTAATTTTTCATAAATGTATTGCATGAAAAAGAAGATATTTTTATTTAAGTAATTTATTAATTTTTCATCAATATATTGTGCGAAAAAAAGGTATTTTTTCTACGATACAAAAGTTTAAACTAGGTATAATAAGTTTGATTATAAATAATTAAATTTTAATAATAAATTAATCATTTTAGAAAACGGTAGTCACAAATCTATTTATATTTTTCGTTTTTATCATAAATTAATACTAATAATAAAATTAAAGTAAATAGTATGATTAATATTTAGATAAGAGAAAAGATAATAAAAATAATTTAATAAGAAATGACAAATTTATTGAAAAAGGGTAAAATAGTCTTTTGCGATGGGTTTGTACTTAATTGTAATAAATTAATAGTTCAGGAGACCGTTTTTAGTTCAAGAAGATTATTTCAAGAGGATTATTTGCAAAAGGACAATAGTTTAAGGAATTTTTTTTGCACTTTACCCATAATATTATAAAAATAAAAATAAAACGGTGAACATGAATTTTGATTGCATTAAATCATATAAAAATTGTTAGATAGCAATACTTCTTTCTTCTCTAGATCATTTGGGAATTAACAAAATCTCCTTTCCTCAACTCAATCTGAGTTGCAGACTTCAAGATGAGTAGGACAAAGCACTTACAAACTTTCATGGGACTTTTGAAAGGTGAAAGGAAAAAAACGCAAAGGCAAAGTCAATAAATATAAAAAGAAGTTTGGTGAACTTTGATGTTGGGGTGTCTTTAAACCCCCCATGAGGTTCTCACATTCCTAATTTTTTTTTTTTTGGTTAAAGTCACATTCCTAATTCTGATTACATGTGAAATGCATATCTGGTGCACCATTCATTTACTTGGAAATCACAACATGCATTTATTCTTTTCATACAGTTGAAGTAAAATCGAGATTCTATAATACACTTACGTTATATTTTGGGAGCATTTGTACTAAAACTATGTTTTGGTGAATTGAATAAGTGCCTTAGATTTGAAAGTGAAAATAAAAAAGGACAAAAAAAACAATCATCCCAGCTTATTAAGATTGTCAACTTAATTTGAGCTTATTTTGTACTCAATTTTTAAATTTACAGATAAGAATGACAATTCAATCTCTAAGAGTGTCAGTTAGGAGTGATTATGAGTATGGAATTTGGAAAGATCAAAAAACACTAATTGTTTGCAGACCTTAGGTCTAAGTATATATATATGTGTGTGCATATTTAATATTATATATATATATGTGTGTGTGTGTGTGTGTGTGTGTGTGTGTGTGTAGAGAGAGCAAACTGGCAAAAGACATGAGAATGTTCTCTGGTTAAGTAGTTATAGTTTCAGGAATAATTCTTAGAAAAATAGAAAATTCTGCAATGCAGTGGATACATGGCCATACAATGTCAGGTAACTACTACCTCTTCTTTTTGTTTACTTCTTCTTGGATATGATTACAAAATGCAGGACAGACCCCACATTCAAACAACCCAAATGCTCAATAATTGAAGGTCCAGAGACACTCCATCTCAATTTATTTCTCATATCCTACATTGATCTTTTAAGCTCTTAATCAACCACTAGTTTATATGATAAAACACACAAAATTTTACATTTGTATCCAACTAAAATTAATCCTAGATTTTATGAAAGCATAATATCAATCCTCAGCCTACATGCATGGACCCTCCCCTCCGTACTCCACATGTTGCCCACTAACATCTATATCTGAACCATTAATGTGTGGGCCACATTATTGGATAGGACATTACTAGTAACAAGCAATTCAAACAAGTTCTACAGTTTTAGCTAATTAAGTTAATTTTCTTTTACCAAAATTAGGTATGGCCCACAAAAGCAAACTGTCCATATGACAATGCATTAGGCATCAAATCAATCACATAACAAATTCTTTAGGTAGATCTCAGTTGGCCATTTTCCTGGTGTCATCATCTTTCTTTTGAATTTTTCTTGGTGTAAGTAAATGCAAGAGTACTAACATTCCCTTTGTTTTGAAGACAACTCCACTCTAGCTGCAAATTTTATGATATAAGTGGTCAAATTCAATGTAACATTTAACCTAAATAGTTAGGAATGTGGCTTGTTATGTCTTTTTTGTAATTTCCGAATTAGCAATGGCTTCTACTTTTTCTCAACACACTTTGGCTTATATACACATAATGTATATGGGAAAAATGCATATAGGACAACCAAACTTTACCCCAAGTCAAATCGCTTCACAAACCTAAATCCACTCAAGATAAAGTAAACACAACTCTATCCCATCTTACTTTTCCAATGGAAACCACAACCCACATGATCTTGCTTGGGGTTTTTGAAAGATCACACACCCCTCTCAAAAAAGAAGATCTCTCTATCTTTGCTCCATTTCCATTTCCATCCTCATCCCCTTTTTTCATAAAATAAAGGAATTACATGGCTCACAATACACACGTGTAATCTTGTATATTTATATATTATAAATAATCTGATACTGTACAATACCCGTACTCCATCGAATCAACACCCCACTCTCTCTTAAGGACAGACCCTAAATTGATGGCTCCCTTACCTACTCTAAGTGAGCCAATTGAGAGGAATTTGACAAGCGTTGCATTGTAATTGAAACACTTGTCCTAGAGCACCTCCTCCCAATAGTATTGCATTTTAGCCAATGTGGCATTAAATCCAAATCACGGAGTCATATGAGTCGCTCATGAGTCCCCAACCTTTCATGCCCAGCCCAAATTATTGAACTTGGTGAAGGGTGTGAGGAATGGGGGTCCCCTGAATGATGGATCCAAAAGGCAAAGTACAGAGCAGGGTGCAATAATTATACATGCCATAGATTTCATCCTAAGCAAGTGAGAAACTCCTCATTCAAAAGCAGAAGAATAAAAGGAATTAATTCCCAAAAGCCATAATTGTAAAAATATCATTATTTGTTACAAAAATTTATAATAGGAGGTGATTGATGGTTTGATAGATACCCTCTCTCTCTCTCTCTCTCTCTCTCTCTCTCTCTCATAGCCAAAAGAAAAAGAGACTTCTCTTTCTCTTTCTCTTTGTATTTTCATTTTCATTTTCATCTTTTATATTTCTATCTAGCTTCCCCACTTCCTTCTCTCTCCTCCTCCTCCTCTTCTTCTTCTTCTTCTTCTTCTTCTTCTTCTTCTTCTTCTTCTTCTCTCTCTAATTGTTATATAGAGAGAGAAAGAGAAAGAGAAGGAGCTAGCACCCATGAAGAACACCATCAAGTGTTGCATATCTTGCATTCTTCCATGCGGAGCACTCGATGTGATTCGGATAGTTCATTCGAATGGCCGCGTGGAAGAGATCAGTGGAACAATCCGAGCTGAAGAAATCATGAAGGCCCATCCAAAGCATGTCTTGAAGAAGCCTTCATCGCCGTCCGATGAAGGGGTTTGTCCCAAGATTGTGATCGTGCCACCGGACGCAGAACTTCAACGCGGGAAGATTTATTTCCTCATGCCGGTGCCTTCCACGCCAGAAAAGACTCGTAGTTCCAAGTCATCAAACAGAAGGAAGAAAAGAGAATTAGCTGAAAACAAGAATCCAAACAACAACCTCTCAGAGACAAACCTCCTCGTTTCGGATAGGTATTTGAGCGAAATCCTATCTGAGAAGGTGTCCACGCAGAGAGATCGAAGGCGAGGCCGTGTCGGAGTGTGGAGGCCTCATTTAGAAAGCATCTCCGAGACATCAACCGAAGCATAAACCGGGTTTTTTTATTATTCTTCTTTTGATTCATTTCAATCAAATATTATCCATTAGGGTTACAAAAATGTTTGTATATAAACATAGAGGGGTAAAATAATTATATGCCAAAAGTTGTGTGGTGAAGTTTGAAAATCTGGTTGATTACTCTGAACAGTTCTGGTTGGATCTTGGCGTCGCCAATAAACGGGCCAAAGTTGCCTTATCGGTTCATACTTTCATGTCTTAAGCCTTCATTGAAAGGTGGTCAATTTAGCTGTAATGTGGATGTCTTGAGAGAGAGTTTTGCGAGTGTTTGTTTTTCTTTGGCATCAAGAGTTATCTGAGTTGAGAGATTGGTATTGAGAAAGATCCCACTTGTACCGTTCAGTGTTTTAGCAATTGCATTATTATTTTTTGAACATGATTGGAGGTGATTGTGATGTGATCATATATATATATATCATAGTATATATGCACAAACCACCATTCAAATAATCTACATGACCATATTGCCCATGATTTTATTAGTAGATACTCCGTAAATTGTTATATGTGTTTCCTCTATGTGAGTTGTTCTCTTCATGTGTCGGCATTGATGTATTGCTTATGTCAATATATGTATAAAATATGAACCCGCATTTTCTGGTTTACTTTATTACCATTGACATCAAAAAAGCGAAAAAAATATATATAGTGCTATAGCCTATAGGCAATGGACTATACATTGAAGTAAAGTAATACAATTAAAGCATGAAACTAGCTAGGGTCAGACATGAGCATATGTGCATTCTATTAAAGTTTTTAATCCAAATTTTACTAATTAATTAGAATCAACAATGACCATTGACGTTGATGGACCACAGGTACATTATTAATTTTCCAAGAATCAGATGTGTTTTTATGTATAATTGATTTTAATTAATGATCAAAGTGAGTTTGAGGTTGATAAAATAATTGTCCCCACATTGCTTTTAGGCATAGAATAATGCATTTCTAGCTAGCTTGAAGGAACAAGTGGAGTGGGCATGTCTTTAAGCAATTTGTTCCCTTAGAGTTGATTAGATGATTCCAATTGCATTGTAACTAAGTATAAGTATAACAGTAGGTTTAGACCTTTTGATTTGGTTTTGGTTTGGGAATGGTTGATGAGCTCAGATTCTGTTTCCAATAGGGTTTCCTTTTCCAGACCCACCATTTGGGGGCCAGTGAAATGGTGGCACAATCATTGGAATCTGATCCAATAGATCATCAAAGATTAAAAGCTAGTGACGGAAAAACTCATATAGATCATGCCTCATATATAATATATGTGAAAAAAATCGTAGTTACTAGTGTTTAATTACATTGTAAATATATATAGTTAAAGCGTTGAACCATCCGAGATGATGGGTGATTACAATTGTCATATAAAAAGAAAATATTATATAGAAATAAATTTAAAAAATCTATTTCTTGCAAATTTTTTATATATAATGTTTTTATGGACGCTGATTGTCTAATAGTTTTTTTTTTTTTTTTAAGTGAAAAGTAGAAGGTTCAAGCTCCTAAAATATTGTGGAATTATTTGTCAGTATCAAACATAAAATTGCATAATATTTTCACACGTAGGAGTAGGCTAAAATTGTTTGACATTTTGTGCTATGTTATTTTTCTCTTATATTAACAAGTTTAATCATCCTAGCACAATATAAAAATTAAGGAGCTTCTTCACAATAAAAATTCGATACGAAAATATGAATGTGAGATGAAAATTAATTCATGTTACTATGATTTTGTTTGCTTGCTTGTTTTCATTTTTCATATTACTATAATATTAGAAGATTTATTTCTTTTCACACACAAAAAAAAAAAATTATATATATATATATATATAGAGAGAGAGAGAGAGAGAGAGAGAGGGGTTGTGGTATATAATGTACAATAAATCAAACGGCGCCTCACTTTGCATCTAGTGAGAGAATCACTTTCTCCACCTTTTGAAAAATGAAACGGAAGACACATTGGAGAAAATGTGTTTTGTCGCCCCCGTAATGATATGTGCCGCATTTTAATTAATGGGGTCACTTAAATGAACTCTTTTCCTTGTCATTTTAGAAAAAAAGTTATTCAAATAATTGAATGTCCAACCACATTATTTTCCAATTGCTTTGTTAGTTAAATCTTGGAAATAAAAAATAAAAAATAATAATCTAGGAAAATAAAGTAACTGCAACTGCATAATTAAAATATTCTGTCCATTTCTTTCTATTGATTTCTCGACAATCTTATTATTAATGAATATAGATTAAAATTATGAGTGGTTGCCTCGGAATATCTAAGTTGTAGTTCTCCTATCAAAATCTCTAAAAATAAAATTTAATTTAAGCTGAAAATTAATAACTCACTCGTGCAAGTGAATTAATATTTTATACGAGTATAATTTATCACATTAAAATTAAACAAGTGGCATACAAGCATAACCATAGACCAGCAATAAATGATCTTCTGCAGCTGCTCCTCTATATTGTATTTTATTAATTAATTTGTTGATAGAGAAAGCCGACAACCCCCCATTTTCCCCCTCAATTTTTGGGCATGGACCTAATGCTGTTTATGGCCCCACTTAAACGCGTGTGACAGATTTTTTTTTCTTGGTATATTTTATTTTTGGGTAATTTTAACCCAAATAATGACACCAAATACTTTACGGATAAAATAAATAAATAAATAATATTATTCAAACTATTATTCTAGGGTAGTTAAGAGATTTTATGTGACAACAAAAATTCACGTCGATCGACATAATTTAAGTATAGATCACTAAGACTTTTGATCCAAGTAGTATGGATCATATCATATTTAATATGGAAGATTAATAATTTTATACAATTTGCTTTTAACTTATGGAAATATTTATTTATTATTATTATTTTTTTAAGAGTTAAAATTATCCAAGACAGGAATGAATGTGAATGCATTATGTGCTTACCTATCAATATATAAGGTAAATACATATAAAAACCAGAAAAATAGACTAGCATTATGGCAATACTTGTGGCCAACAAGACTACTTTAACATTTTGCATTCTTTCAATTTTTAAATTTCCAACACTTTTGCCGTGTAACATCACTTTCATGTCTAGTGCAATAATAATTTTTTTTTTTAAATGGTTCAGGGGTTAATATCGAGGGATAATCACTATTGAATATTGACCTTAATTTTTTTAGGGACATATTATCGTTGGTAAGTATTCGAGAGATAAGTTCTTGAAGTTTCACTTTTGAATAGTACTCATAACTTGAATGGTGTATGTTGTGAGGCTGATACACATATATTAAAAAATAATAATAATAATGATTGACCGAAAAATATATAATAACAAATCGCAACATAAAACATTCAATTAAATATTAAAAAACATAAAATACAATTTTACTCTAATCTGGTCCGAGGCAGGGGTCCGAGATCATCCTGATGTCAGCGTCGAACCTAAAATGACACACAAGTCTGATGATAAATCAGAGACACCTTATCTTGAAATTGTATGTTGAATGAACAGAACCTAGATTGGTCCAACCCTGTTCACACCACTAGTTTTTGCGATTATCTCAAAAGTACATTTGGAGAGAAGACACCAAGCAACCATAGTATACGGAATAGCTTTTTTTAACAGTCACCGTATTCTTTTTAGATGGACCACACCAAGTGACTGACCATTTGGACATCACTAAGGTTTTGCACATTGGGCCAATGATGCCGATACACATCTATACACACACACACACACACACACACACACATGCATGCTCGCTAATCCACTTTTACTTTTGGGATAAAGTATGTGATACTTCAGGATTTGATGTGAAATTCTCTTGTGAGTGAGTTTGGACTTTTTGCTTTCCTTTCTATGGTCTATATGTTCATGTTCAGGACTTGGTATTTGTAAAATTATAACATATTCATTTAATTTCTGCTATATTTTCTTTATCCACATGTTTTCTATTTTATTAATCACATAGGAAAAAATATCAAAAAAAGGTTGAAATTTATTTTTCTTTTAAAAAAATGAAAAAAAAGGAAAGTGACAAACAGTGTTGAGTAGCTCCACTTTAAAAAAATGGTGGAGCAGGGGACAGAAAGATAGAGACTAAAGGAGAGTGATGGTGATCCTTCAACCGATTCATGACTTGTACAGTTCTACCACATGCATGCTATGACTTTCTACCATGATGACACCTTATGGTTTTTTGGCTAATTGCCATTCAATTTGATTCATGTACATGCACATCTTCATCATTCCCATCCACGAACTGTACGGTTTGATGACTTCTTTTTCATGGTTGCATGATGCCATTTTTCACTAGCAAAAAATTTGTACCGTCCGAAGTTGAGAGCGTGATAATTAAATTAGTGTTTGAACCGTTATAAGTGATAGGAAGAATTGGTATTAATTTTTTTTAGCAACATTAATCAATTATTCATTGTAGAAGTGTCCCATCACGAAGTAGAAAAATCGTCATCCCGAAAGAGAGGGTGATAGTATTTATCTCTTCCTCCTTAAACCCTATTGAATTTCTGTATTGCCTGAATTTTTTACAGTCTCATATTTCATGTCAATAAGTAAATAACAGTTAAATAATATGAATCAAAAGCCAGTAATTTTTCAATTGTTTTTTGGAAATTTACCGTGGACACTTCACCACATTTACTGTAAAGTTTTATCACTATAATGATCACTCACTATAATGATAAAATTTCATATATATTTTTTTATCCCGACAATGATCAATAATTAGTTGGGGAGGAATGAATCGAAACTAAGATTGGTAAGGTGGGAGCACCCCTTTTATCACTCAAACAACATTACCATGGTGATAAAATTTCACATAAAATGATAAAATTCAAAATACAAGTCATATCATATTGATTGGTACTACTTTGTACTGAAGTCCAATAAACATATTGACATAATTCCTTATCATCCATGAAACCAAACCAGATTAGAGGTCTAAAATTTGAGATATTGGAAGTCTACAATTTGGTTGAATTTTAGTGTGCATATGATAGGAATCCAATTTGAAATGATTAGATATGTAGGTTGGAGTCTAAATTTCAAAGCACCTAGCTAGGAGGTGATAAATTGGGGTGGCCTAGGCTTTCATTCTTCAAACATCACACTCATTTGCATGAAAGAAGATTAGGAATGGCATTTTTCTTTAACGCCCACATTAATTTCACGATGTCAAAAATAATTATTTTGCAAAAAAGAAATATATGTTAAAGTTTCTACTCTAACACCAATCTAATCTTGATTTTCCTAATGGACTGCCAATACAGAGTTGCTATTTAACTAATTGCTTGTTTATTTATGTTACATTCAATTGCATGAAATTAGTGTATTGAAATAAAATTAATTTAAAATTTGAACTAAATTTTTTGCT